TTTTGGTTTATACAACTTCTTACAGTTGTGCAGCTAATGGCTGTGGTCAAAAATTCAACACAAAATCAAACTTGAAGAAACATTTTGAACGCAAACATGAAAATCAACAAAAACAATATATAGTAAGTATGATTTTATATGCTTAAATTTATTTTTACACTTACTGCCTGTGTTGCTGACATTTTCAGCCAGGTGCGGTGGCTCAAGCCTATAATCATTGCTTGAGGCCAGGAAATTGAGACCAGCCTGGGAAACATAGTGAAATGCTGTCTCTGAAAAAAAACAAAAACAGAAAACAAAACAAAAAATTTTGGGGTAACAGAGAGATACCCTGTCTCTAAAAAATAAAAGTGAAAAACACAGTTTTCGTCAACCAAATTTTGTGTCAAATGTCTGAATTTACTTAATGCCATCATAATGATAAAGGCTTTATTTTGGAAGCAAACATTGTACAAATTAAAGTGTATTGGGAGACTAGTCCAATGGAAACATTTTTCCTTTTTCAAATGTCATATGGTTCTTCAAATCTTTTTGAGATAAAGCAGAATTTTACAGTAACAAAAAGGGTGAAAGTAACAATTATATAATCTCCAAAATAGTTTTATCTTGAGGATTCTGTTATGAACTGTTGATTTTTTTTGACTTTCCATAAGACTAACGAGCCTTTACAATTTAAAATTAACAGTGCAGTTTTGAAGACTGTAGGAAGGCCTTTAAGAAACATCAGCAGCTGAAAATCCATCAGTGCCAGCATACCAGTGAACCTCTGTTCAAGTAGGTACTTCACGTGGCTGAAAATCTCTTGGATTCTAGGTGTGAATAAGATTGGAAATGCAAGGGTGGTGTTGAGCATTGTTTCATGTTTTTTGGCTATTTATATATCTTTTGAGAAATGTCTGTTCATATCCTTTGCCCACTTTTTGATGGATTATTTGTTTCTCTTGCTGATTTGAGTTCTCTGTAGATTCTGGATATACATTCTTACTGGATGCATAATGTGCCAATATTTTCTCCCATTCTGTGGTTGTCTGTTTACTCTGCTGATTATTTCTTTTGCAGTGCAGAAGCTTTTGAGTTTAATTAGGTCCCATTTATTTCTATTTTTGTTGCATTTGCTGTCAGGGTGTTAGTAAGAATTCAATTCTTTGCCTAGGCTGATGTCCAGAGGAGTTTTTTCCAATGTTTTTTCTTGAATTATATTTATGGTTTCAGGTCATAAATTTAATTTGAGCTGATTTTTGTGTAAGGTGAGAGAGAGGGACCCAGTTTTTCCAGCACCATTTATTGAATAGGGAGTCCTTTCCCCAGTTTGTTTTTATATGCTTTGTTCAAGATCAGCTGGCTGTAAGCATTTGGCTTTATTTCTGGGTTTTCTATTTTGTTCCATTGGTCTAAGTGCCTATTTTTATACCAGTACCACCCTGTTTTGGTAACTGTAGCCTCGTAGTATAATCTGAAGTCTAGTCAAAGGAAAAGAAGTCACTATATGAAAAAGATACATGCACATATGTTTATAGCAGCACAGTTCACAACTGCAAACACATGGAGCCAATTTAAGTGCCCACTGACCAATGAGTAAAGAAAATGTGGTGTATATACACCATAGAATACTACACAGCCATAAAAGGGAACGAAACGATGTCTTTTGCAGCAGCTTGGATGGAGCTGGAGGCCGTTATTCTCAGTGAAGTCGCTCAGGAATGGAAAACCAAATACCATAGTTTTCACCAAGTGGGTGCTAAGCTATGAGCCCAAAAAGACAGAGAGTGATTTAATGCACTTTGGGGATTTGGAGTGGGGAGTTCGGGGAGGGGGTGAAGGATGAAAGACTACACGCTGGGTACAGTGTATGCTGCTTGAGGGACTGGTGCACTAAAATCTCGGCACCACTATAGGGTTTATCCATGTAATGAAAAAACACCTGTAACCCGAAAAGCCATTGACATTTAAAGCAACAGTGGGACAAATCTTCTGAAAGCTTCCCAATCAACATTTTTCTGTTAATATGTACTGCATATGTACATTTACATATTGGGAGCATTTTAAAGGTTTACTTTGCTCTAAAAGAAATATTTAATGTGTTTGAAAATAATTTTTGAGATTATTCTAGCTGTGGTTAAGCTTAAAGGCTGCGAAATTACTTAACTATTCAAATAGAGCCTGTGCAACTATATGAAATGTCATTATGGAGACATTCATTATGCTTTTCCTGTAGAACAAAACAAGTAATTCGGTTTATCTGCAGTTAGAGAGGGTTTTTTGAGGAACATGAGGGTTTTTTGAGGAACATGAGGGTGGCTGGACAAGTTGGGTAGACCTGCAAAAGGGCCAGCGGCTCTCTGCATGGCTCTGGCCATCTGGCACTTTCCCTCAGCTTGCACAGGCTGCCTTGTGCCTTGGAGACCCTGCTTCTGCTTGCTTGTGGGTCTGCTGCTGCTTTGCTGCTGATAGCTTTAGCACAGAGGGGGCACGTGCTTTTTATTGGTCACCAGAGGCAGATGCATCTACCGCTGTGCTCTCTTGCACACCCCCTGTGCACCATCATTAGGAAAGCTAGTCACAAGTGATTCAGAATGGCTTAGGGGTTTACCTAAGCCAAGTCAGATAACCTCTCGAAGTATCTTTTTGTAGCTTTTCGGAGGTATAAAGATGAAAACTGTTTAATTGGGTTAAAAAAAAGTAACGTGACTTTTTTCTCCAACAGTTTGTTTTGCCCTAAAGCTGGTCAAGTAACTTGAATCTCACTTGTGATGAGGTCTACATTTTAACATGGGTTTGGTTATGGGAAGAGGAGAGACTTCGGTGGGAGAAACAGGACAAAGCGCCATTGACCCTGAGTGGAGTTCTCTGTGAAAATGGATTGGCTAATACCTCATGTGTTGCCAATGCAGGTGTACCCAGGAAGGCTGTGGGAAACACTTTGCATCACCCAGCAAGCTGAAACGACACGCCAAGACCCACGAGGGTGTGTACGGACAGCCTGGGTGTGCTCCTCTGAGGGGGATGCCAAATCATGGGTGCCTTTGAATCTGTTCCGTGATCACGCTGACAAGAAGGGAACTCTGTGGGCAGGGGACACCATCCTGCTTATTTGGGTCTTACATTCTTGTCCAAAGAGGCACTGTATATGTCTGTTTTTCCACTACCATGTCATTGCTGTTCACATGTAATGTGTTGTTTGTTCACAAGTGCCTGGGTACACGTTACACTGACGAATGTGCTGATGAGAGGGAAAGGCATCCTTCCTGTGAAGTCTGCCTATTCCATGATCATGCTGAGAAGATGGGAACTCTGTGAAGTTTGCTTCACAGGAAGGTGAAATCCTTAGAGGGAGGCACCTTGCTGTGCTACTGTTCAGTTTTACTATAACGTAAATCTTTTTTAGTTTTTATTCCCACTTCAGGAGGCTGAGTTGAATACTATTAGGAGGGGAATAGAAAATTATATAGGCACCTATGTTTTCTTTGTAGTTATGGTCAGTGTTTACACTGAATATTCATGACAGACAATGCACCAATTTTTTTACATAGGCTATGTATGTCAAAAAGGATGTTCTTTTGTGGCAAAAACATGGACAGAACTTCTGAAACATGTGAGAGAAACCCATAAAGGTAAGGCAGGCATGAATGGCAGGCATGGTGTAAATGTTTGTCCCCACAGAACTCGTTTTGTGCTTTTCAAGAGTGAAATGCTGTGCGCTTTAAAGTAAAAGGGTTTCTATATGATATTTTGTGAAGTGCTGGGTATGATGTTGGAAAGGGGAGCAGAGCTGTGCTAGGTTTCTGAGCCATCCCCTCCATGCACAATTAGCATGCTGAAGGCGGTGGCAGGTGTGTAGTGAAGAATTTCGGGAGGCACTGCTGTTCTGTGGGACAGCCTGGTAAATAGTACCCAGCACACTGGGGGACAAGGAAGGACACCGTTTGGTCTGCTTCATGTTCTGTACCTCCCCGCAGTCACCTTCCTGAGGGCCCTGCCTTTTGGCAAGTAAGCAATGACTTTGTGGCATTTAAGAACTTCAGAGAGTTGAGACAAACTTCCTAGGTGATAAGAACAGGGGTTCCTTGGGAATTTCTGATTTGTATTTGCAGGCACTGAATGTTACTTATATATTAATTTTTTCTAAATGGTGGTATCTGGGGAAATTGGTGAAATTTGTCTGTCTGTCCCACCAGAGGAAATACTATGTGAAGTATGCCAGAAAACATTTAAACGCAAAGATTACCTTAAGCAACACATGAAAACTCATGCCCCAGAGAGGGAGGTATGTCGCTGTCCAAGAGAAGGCTGTGGAAGAACCTACACAACTGTATTTAATCTCCAAAGCCATATCCTCTCCTTCCACGAGGAAAGGCGCCCTTTTGTGTGTGAACACGCCGGCTGCGGCAAAACATTTGCAATGAAAGTAAGCACTCACCCTCACAGTCGCGGTCCTGTAGTCTATGCGTTCACAACACAGTTTTCCTATTAATATTTCATTAATAACTTTCTTTCATTTTAGCAAAGTCTCACTAGGCATGCTGTTGTACATGATCCTGACAAGAAGAAAATGAAGCTCAAAGTAAGTTGAAACTACTTAGGCAGCTTATTTTTCAAACAGAAATTGTTTAAAGCCAGAAGGAGTCTGGAATTCTTTTCGGCTGCTTTACTGTGTGAGTCTGCACTACTGCTGAAGACTTGACTTCCTCATAAAGCAGTGTTGTATACTATACCTGCTGGTACATATGACTGTCGCAAAATTAACTCAGATAATTTTGAATTCTAATCGTGTGTCTTCCTTATTCCCAAAGGTCAAAAAATCTCGTGAAAAACGGAGTTTGGCCTCTCGTCTCAGTGGATATATCCCTCCCAAAAGGAAACAAGGGCAAGGCTTATCTTTGTGTCAAAACGGAGAGTCACCCAACTGTGTGGAAGACAAGGTGCTCTCGAAGGTTGCAGTACTTACCCTCAGCTAAGAACTGCACTGCTTTGTTTCAAGGACGGTAGACGAAGGAGCTTACTTTCTCTCAGAGCATGCTTTTCTTTATTAAAATTACTGATGCAGAACATTTGATTCCTTATCATTTCCTTGGTCTTGGTTCAAAGTATCTCTTTTCTGGGTCTTTTGAGTTTCTCCATATGCCTTCTCTTCATTTTTGCTTACAGGACGAAGAACACACATTAAAGCTTTTCCTCCTTGAACAGCTTGTGGCCTAGATAAGAATGTAGCCATTCCAGGCATAGTCTGGAGTATTTGATGAAATATCTCCTCCTAAAAAAGGGAAACAGCCAGAGATTAATTTAAAATCAGAGGCTTTGTTGCCTTCTAGTGTTCTGCTCGAACATTCACAAAACCCGGCACCCTTGAATTGCTGCTGTCGGATAAGTGATTAGCTAATGAGTTCATAGATATCTGGTTAGGCTGACTGAAATCTGTACAATAACACCATGTAACTAAACTGACATGCTGAATGCTTCCTAATTTTAAATCTCCACTTTGTCATGGCACTAAGAGGCTCCGTTTGGCTTAGATTACCCTCTCCCCCAAACAGAAAGCACTGGGTTTGGGCATTGGCAAAATACCTCCTCATCCCCAAGATGTCAGCCGAGCAGTTCTCAGCACGCTCTACTGCCCCTAACGGAGTCACTCTCAGTGGCTGAAACAAATGGATACCTGGACTCAAGAAAGTCTGAATCAGCTGGGTTGGGACCTATGCTAAGTGACTCTACTGTGGAGCTGGATTACTAAGGATGCCCTTAGTGGATGCTAAAGTTATCTAACTTAAAAAAAAAAAAAGCAAAACAGGTATTCCATAAACTTCCGGGATTGGAAACTACGCACTTTCTAGAAGACAATCTACATAATTAATACCCCTCATAAGTGCAAAGAGGAAACAAAAGATCAATCTGTAAAGTTTCTAATTTTCCTGTTTAAGGGTTATTCTACAATGTATAAAACAATAGTATATTGCTTTTAAAGTATGAAACGTTTTCATATGGCTAAATACACTGTAATGGAAGCTATATCTACAGTATGCTTAGTTTTGAAAAGCAAACTAGAAAGCTGTTAACATCACTGGGTGGAAGAATTACCAGTCACTTTGTCTTTATATTTCAGATTTTCTACATTTTTTTTTTTTTGAGACTGAGTCTGACTCTGTCGCCCAGGCTGGAGTGCAGTGGGGCGATCTCAGCTCACTGCAAGCTCCGCCTCCCTGGTTCACGCCATTCTCCCGCCTCAGCCTCCAGAGTAGCTGGGACTACAGGCGCCTGCCACCACGCCCGGCTAATTTTTTTTGTATTTTGAATACAGATGGGGTTTCACCATGTTAGCCAGGATGGTCTTGATCTGACCTCGTGATTCACCCGCCTCGGCCTCCCAAAGTGCTGGGACTACAGGCGTGAGCACTGCGCCTGGCCTACAATTGTATTTTTAGATCAGAAGACCAAAAGCACAAGCAATGGCTTGTACCTTCTTTACTTACCACTTTATTTTCTGACACGTCTACATTCTTTCCTTTCTTTATAGTAATCCGGACTTGGCGTTCTTTCTTAATCCACTGTTGAATCTGTTTAGTCTTTGTGTCCAAATCATGTTGTCCAATATTTGAAGAAAAAGTCAGTTCCTTTGTCAGGGTTGGTCCTGGTTTGAAACAGATAGGGTGCAAGGACTACTGACTAGTCCACTGCGAACCCTGAACTTCCCAACATGCCCGTCATAAAATCGTAGGTTGCCACCTGACAGTCTTCTCGTCTGGCTTTCAGTTTCACACACCAGTACATGTCTTTTCAAATGGGGGAGATAAACATAAAGGTACCAATTTTTTACCTGCCCTGGAAGGGTACTTAAAATCTGAAATGCTTCCATTTATTGTTAACCATCATTTGTTGAAAGAACACCAAAAGACAGTCATTTAAAGGATTAAGTTTGGCTTTATGGTACACTTAATATCCTCATCTTTCAGCTGTGGATTGGCATCTGGGAGTGCGCTACCCACTCCTTTTGAGATGCTCTCCTTGCTACTAAGGGGTCAGCCAGACTGTTGGACAGGTAAGGGTCCCTACGTCCTGTGTTCATGCCCTCTGTCTCCAGAAATCCTGCCTACTGGAAAATTACAGAGAAGGAACAGGCTACTCAATAAAGGTGTTGGGACAATTGAGAAGTTTATAGATGACAAAAAGTTAGGTCTCCTCAGATGTACTAATGTTCTACAGGTGAAAAATACAACTTTAAAACAAATAGAAGAAAAGATAAAATGGTTTGTGATCTCAGGATAGGGAAGGAATTCATTAGGAAAAAAAGGTAAAAAGTGAAAAATCTAACTGGGATAAAGTTTTTTTTGTCATACACAACAGAGAACCCTGTAAATCAGGAAGAAAAACCATCTATGTAGAAAAATGAATACAAACAAGCATTCACAGAAGAGAAAAAATAGTGAAATACACATTAATTTGTCACCATTAAAATTACAAAAACTAGAGTCTGACAGAATGAGGGAGGAGGTAGAGAAATTGCATACACTGCTGCTGACAGCAGTTTGATGCATTTAGGTTCACAGACCCTAGAGCATGCACCAGCATTCATCATAAAGACTGGGGGCCAGATGTGCTGCCTCACGCCTGTAATCCCAGCACTTCGGGAGGCTAAGGTGGGCAGATCATTAGAGCTCAGGAGTTCAAGACCTGAGCAACATAGCAAGACCCCGTCTCTACAAAAAATAAAAAAGCCAGGGATGGTGGTGTGTGCCTGTGGTCCCAGCTGCGTGGGAGGTGGAGGTGGGAGGATTGCTGGATCCCAGGAGATGGAGGCTGCAGTGAGCCGAAATCACACCACTGCACTCCAGTTTGGGTAACAGAGCAAGACCCTGTTTTTTTTTTTTTTTTTTTTTAACACAGGGTCTCACTCTGTCACCCAGGCTGAAGTGCAGTGGTGTGATCACGGTTCTTCACTGCAGCCTTCCCCTCCCGGGCTCAAGTGATCCTCCCACCTCAGCCTCCCGAGTAGCTGGGATCACAGGTTTGCACCACCACACCTGGCTAATTTTTAAATTTTTTGTAGAGATAGGGTTTTACTATATTGCCCCGGCTGGTATTGAACTGCTGAGCTCAAGCTATCCACCTGCCTTGGCCTCCCAAAGTGCTGGGATTACAGGCCTGAGCCAACATGCCCAGTGACTTTTTTTTTTTTTAAAGTGACATAGTTTGATGTCCTTATTCTCCCTAGTTGGTCTCTTCTGAATATTTTTTTGTTTTCTAGTCAACGTCCTTGTTAAATGTGGTGTTACAAAACTGAGCTGCAGATAACGTGATTTTCTGAAGGCACGCAACCTCACGATGCAGTCCTGGGAGCAGTCATCTGACACCTGTCCCCGTGCGCCATCCACTGAACTTTCATAATGATTAGCACTTTTTAGGAACTATGAAAAACGAACATATTTGCTTAATATCCAATTCATGACTTCTGTGAGGCTTAAATGGCAAGTGCCTTGTGAAGTGACTGGTTGTATATATAAAAGAGTGTTGCTACTGATACTGTAACAAAACGCTTTGGCATGGGAGATGCTCTGTGAATCACTTTAGAGTTTAAAAGGTACTTCCAGGCTGGGCGCGGTGGCTCACGCCTGTAATTCCAGCACTTTGGGAGGCTGAGGCGGGTGGATCACTTGAGGCCAGGAGTTCAAGACCAGCCTGGCCAACATGGTGAAACCCCCGTCTCTCTTAAAAATACAAAAATTAGCCGGGCATGGTGGCGGGCACCTGTAATCCCAGCCACTGGGGAGGCTGAGGCAGGAGAAGTGCTTGAGCCTGGGAGGCGGAGGTTGCAGTGAGCACACATCGCACCACTGAACTCCAGCCTGGGCAGGAGGCAGAGACTCCATCTCAAAAAAAATAAAAAGGTGCTTCCAGATAATTAACCAAACACCTCCACTTTAGAGATGAAGAAGGGGAAGAAAACTAAGTGACTGGCCTGGCAGAGGGCAGGAAACTTGAACATACCCCTCCCAATCTCATTCCGTTTCACCCATCAGCTACTCAGCTTGCCGCAGCACTGGGAGGCGGCCACAGGATGGGAGAAAGAGTTCTCTTCACTTTGGTCTGTCTGCCTGCTTTCTCCTACATTTTACACAGGTTTAAAGGGAAGAGACAATGGGCAGGGTATTATGGAATAATGGGAACGGAAGTAAGTGCAGGAAGCAGGAAAGACAGACACTAGGAATGGTGGTGGAATCATCAATTTTCCAGTTTCTCATTTCCCTATTGTCACAGGCACCTTGACAAATGCTGGAATTTAAACTGCTGATTTGTAGCCCTTAAAGGATTCAGGGAGCCAACAGCAAAATACCTACCAGTTTTGGGGCTAGCCTTCTTCATCTCCCTCAGCCTCTGCCGCTCCTGGAGGATCTGCATTCCTGTCATGAGCTGGTACTCTGCAGGCTCTGTGCTGGCGTTCCTTTGAACCAGTCGCAGGTCTCGCTCATCCATAAGTCTAATCACATCTGCTCGGTGCATGTTTCCCATATCATTGCCCTTCTCATCAAATAAGTGAACAATTCGCTGACTAATTTTTCTTCCAATGTTACCAAAAGCTGTTTGACTCTTTTTTTTCTTTTTTCCTTCATTCTGGGTGTCTTCAACGGTACTAAAGGCTTCTGCATGAATTAGGAAGGAAAGTCTCGGGGCAGAAGCAATAGGGAACGACTGTGCTGGTGCTGTCTTTTGCACGATGTGTTTACCAAAACATCTGACGCAACTATTTTCAGACTTTACAGTTTGTAGTGTTAATCTCTTTAGAAAAAGAGCAGCCATCCTAAGAACGTAGTAAGAAGAGTTCATTAAAATTCAATCACTTATTCCCTCGGTCTGACATTGTGGTACACGGCAGGGCATGTGTGAGGCTGTGGAGGCTGTAATTGCAAGTGTGAAGGAAACTGCTGTTCTCTAGACTTTCAGATCCACACACAGGAAGTCTACACTGATAAAGTGGACTAGCAGGTGACTCTGGCCAGACTAACTCACTCATGGTGGTACTGTCCCCAAGACAAGCGGCGATTAGAATAAACCGGATTTGCATAGCACTTTCACTTTTTTTTTTTTCTCCTGTACCCATGATCTCATTTGACTACTTAGTTGGCCCCTGAACAACTTGGGAGTTAGGGAAACAGACTCCCAGTGCAGTTGAAAATCTGTGCATAACTCTGACTCCTCAAAAACTTAAAATAGCCTGCTGCTGACTGAAAGCCTTATGAATAACATAAGCAGTTGATGAACACATATTTTGTATGCCATGCGTATTATATGCTGTATTCTTACAACAGAGCAAGCTAGAGAAAAGAAATGTCATTAAAATCATGAAGAAGAGAAAATATATTTACTATTCATAAAGTGAACATGGATCACCATAAAGGTCTTCATCCTCACTGTCTTCACATCGAGCAGGCTGAGGAGGAGGAACAAGGGGAGGGGTTGGTCTTGCTCTCTCAGAGGTGGCAGAGGCAGAGGAAAATCCACATATATGTGGACCCCATGCAGTTCAAACGTGTGTTGTTCCAGGGTCAACTGTATTTCTCATGCGTCTTGTAGTGCCAACTCCAAAAGCAAATATCATCTTAGGGGTTTATTTATGAGGATGCAGTACATAATATGCTTGGTGATTCATAAACACCAATTGATAAACTTTTAATATAATGAACTGTTAACAATTTTTCAATACATCTGATGATATATAGCAGATAGGAACACGTTATGGGAAAGGGACCTCTCCAGGAAGGAAGCCAGCCCACTGCAAGAATAACTGAGACTGTCGGAAAACACTGTGACATAAATCAAAGTGCTGACTGACCTCATAAACTATAAAGATCATTCTCAAGGTAAGGCAGGTATTATTACCAAATGTTAACAGAGGCATGTATGGTGACAGTGCTTTTACTTCATTTCTATGAGACTGAATTTGAAGCACTTACAAATCGCACATTGATTTTTTAATTGCTTTTCTGTCCTTCCATTCGTGCATTTGGTAAATCTTAGAAGTACAGGCTGAAAGAGTGCCGAGAGGACCCATTAATCTCATCTAGGGCATGCTAGGAATCATTAGAGAATCACAAACTCCGAGAGGTGTGACTTGTCAAGATGAAAGAGGAAAACAGAAGGTGTCTTCAGGGTGCTTCTCAAAGAATGGTCCCAGAATCTCCTGGGGTGTTTAAAACTGGAGGTTCCCTCTGGTCCCTGGCTTTGAGCCCACCGGGCTGTCCAACCCACTGATCTCTCACCCCTCGTGTTCAAGAGTGATATGCAAAAAATATGGCAAATTAAACAGAAAGTGATGGACATGCATATTCTCAACACCCTCTTTACCTAGTATGGTAACACCCAACACTAATTTACAGCTCTGGTGCCAAGCTCTTCTCTGAGTTCCACACCTGTAGGGTTAACTGCCTACCCAACCTCTCCACTTAGATATGTAATAGTCATTGAGGATTAACGCATCCAAAGTTCAATGCTTCGTCTTCCACACAAAACTTGCTCCTCCCTCAGTCTTCCCTGTCTCATGTAATGGCAACACATTCTTCTGGTTGCTCAGGCCAAAAATACCAACGTTATCCTTGACTCTTTATTTTCTCTCAGCAACCCATCTGCAAAACCTACCGTTCAACCAGTATAACCACTTCTCACCTCCTCCACTGCTATCATCCCACTCCCAAACCAATGCTCGACTGCAACACAGTAAAACTGTATCACAGTGACAGCTTCCTGACTGGTCTTCCTGCCTCTGCCCTCACGCCCTAGAGTTTATTACTGCCAGGGCACATAGAGCAATCCTTAAAAATGCGTAGGTCGGATCACGTTCCTCCTCTGCCCACAACCCTCCCCTGGCTAGTATCTCTCCAAGTAAAAGCCAAGCTCTCTACCATGCCCACTGGCCTGTGCCGACCGTGCTTCTTCCGGCTCACTCGGTTCCAGCCTCCTTGCTGTTCCTTGTAAACAGTGAACACACCCATCCTCTGAGTCCTGGCACCCAGAAATTCTCTCTCCCTGCAATACTCTTCCCTCAGACAGCCTCATGGTTCATTTACCTCGTCTCTGCTCAAATGTTACCTCTCAGCGAGTCCTTCCCTGACCCCTCCATAAAAGAGCAAACCCCAACACTCTCAAACCTATTCCCTTGCCTTTTAAAAACTTTACTGCATTTATCACTGCTGGACACATTATATATTTATTTGCATATACGTTCATCATCTTTCCTCACTGGAATGAAAGCTTCATGAGAATATGGACTTTGTCCATTTTGTTCACTGCTACGTTCCCCGGCACTACAGCCCAGAGCCTGGCTCAGCGTGTACATGTCGAATGAATGCATAGGCCAAAGGAAACAGCCAAGGAGCTACGGCGGGGCTGCTGGCATTTAACCTCCAAGCCTTCGGATGCATCACTCCCCGCCAATGCACACGAATGCCTGCAAGCTACACCCTTCACATTTCTAGCTGGCATTTCAGACACCCGTCAGTATTCGTGAGGATCTGTGGCCAGATGCTCCATCCACAGTGCATGACACGCATTGATTTACGGTTATTACCCAGCTGGCGGCTCCAGCTGTAGATGCGGTCAAGGCTCTAAGGTGGGAGCAAAGTGATTTTAAATCACTGACATACGGTTTCTTTTGTGAACGGAAGAAGCTTCCAAACCAAAAAAGAAGAAAAATCTGAAGAGATCAGACAAGAATTTTTTTTCACTTATCATCAGAAAACCAGCAACAGCATATCCAGTCCCAAATGTCACCAGGTATTCGGTAGGGGACGCTTCAGTTCCTGCTCACAAGCCTGCTCTATAAACTTTATGTCTAAAATCAGTGTTGTTTCTTTCCAAAGTCTGTATCAGCAAGAAGGATGTAGAAGTTACCACATATAAAATCATGTTACTAAATAGATATATATAAATTTAAATAATCTTGAGGTACACAGTAGATGAAACAGTCCACTGCAATGAAGCTTTAATACTAACTCAATATTGGCTATCTTTTTCCCTTAGTAATTATGAATAAAAGCTAAAGTGCCTTGTTTAATAAATTATCAACATATTAAAATAAAAAAAATTTCAAAATGTAGGATTTTTTTCAAACAAGCAAACAAAATAACTAGATACAGGAAAAGATGGAAAAAAATTATAAAAATGTTGAAGACAAAAGCAATTCTTTCCGGTTTTTCCTAATTGCCAGTATTTCTCAAGTTTTTTATAAGTATTATTTTTATACTTGAAAATAAACTTTATTTATTTACAAAACAAAGACTATTTCAGAAAAATGATGTAGGTTTTTTAAAAAAAGCTTTAAAAACACTTTCCAAGAAGGAAATGAAGGAAAGGGAAAAAGCAGAAAAACACTGGAAGTATGTGACTTTTAAAGTCCTTTGCCATTAGTCAAATTTAATTTTAAACTTTTAAGAAGCTTCCATTTTTTTTGATGTCTACAGCAAACAATGCAATTCATTGCAATTAAGCTTTAATACTAACTCAATACTGGCTTTAAATCAGCAAAATTGAAAATATACGTTTCTTCAAAATAGGCCCTTATAGATAAAAATATAAATACCAAGTTAAAACAACCTGTAACATTACATTTAAATTGCAGCTATCAACATAAATTCATAATTTAAAAACTTTTTATTAGGGAATCTTTCAACCTCGTATAGAAAGAACTGGATAATAAACAGCACCTGCGTTTCGTCTTTACCCCTCAACTATCTCCCCGCAGCCATCTAGGAAGACTTTCAAAGTACATCCTACTTTTTCAGGAAATAGTATGTATCTCTAAGAGGCACTCCTTAATCTTTTTAATACTCACAATAACATTATCCCAATTAAAAAATGTTCCTTTATGTCGTCAAATATTTAGCTTTCAGATTTCCATGATGGTATTATTATTTTGTTTGTTTACATGTCATTTACAGTTTGGCAGCATGAAGAGACTCCCACTGGTCAATTTTGGTGTAATTTAAACAGTAAGGCATAATTACTGTCATTCATGTCAATACACTGAATATGCAAAAATCTATGAAAATGATAATTTGCCACAACTGCATGGGACTATTATCTTGATTCTTTACTTTGAAAATTGGTAATTAAGTAAAAAGAACTAAGCATTTATCCTACCTTTTTAGGAAGAACTGTAATCACCCCCGATTGATGAGAAACAGCTCTTCTGTAGAGAAGAATGATAGCTAATAAACACAAAAGAAAAGCAAAAGTAATTAGAAAATCATGCCATGCACGTGTCTCACACCTGTAATTCCAGCACTTTGGGAGGCCAAGGAAGAGGATCACTTAAGGCCAGGAGTTTGAGACCAGCCTGGGCCACATAGCAAGACCCAGTCTCTACAAAAAATTAGCCAGATGTGTTGACACGCAGCTGTACTCCCAGCTACTGCTGAGGCTGAGGAAGGAGGTTCACTTGAGCCCAGGAGGTTGAGGCTGCAGTGAGCTCTGATCACACCACTGCACTCCAGTCTGGACAACAGAGCAAGACCCTGTTTCCAAAAAAAAAAAGAAAATCACCATTTTTCCAACCCCAGTGAAACCACGGATTCAGGCAGGGATGGATGCAAGAGAGCTGATGCCAAAGGGTCCCCACAGATGACTTTCAGACTGAGAGGGAAAAGCACACTCTGCTGAGGAGACAGCTGTCTGTCATCCCAAGCAAACGTCAGACTCAGCATCTCCAACAGGGGGACAACCTGCCATCCTTGCCACATCTCCGGATGGGAAGCTACTGAAGTGCATGGCGCCTTCTATGAAGCAGCTTTGAAAAAAGGTTTGACCTGAACCTGATGCAGGGTCTAGCTTCCAGTTTCCAGGGGATACAAGGGCCAGACTCAGAGGAACAACAGAAGATGCCACAAGGAAACAATCTGACAAATCCAGATGGAACAAGACACCTGGTTAGTGTCTAAAAAAGTCAATGTCATTGGGAATGAAAAGGGAAGGGGAAAGCGATTCTTGAGTGGAAAAAAAAATCAAGGAGACATAATTATGCTGAAAAGACATGTTGGGGATGAGGGGAAAATCTGAATAGAGACTAGGTATTAGATACTATTAGAGACGTATTGTTAATTTTCTTTTTTTTGAGACAGGTTCTCACTCTGTCACCCAGACTGGAGTGCAGTGGGGCAATCTTGGCTCACTGCAACCTCTGCCTCCCAGGTTCAAGCGATTCTCTTGCCTCAGCTTCCCAAGTAGCCGGGAGTACAGGTGTGCACCACTACTGCCCAGCTAATTTTTGCATTTTTAGTAGAGATGGGGTTTTACCATGTTGGCCAGGCTGGCCTCGATCTCCTGACCTCAAATGATCCACCTGCCTTGGCCTCCCAAAGTGTTGGGATTACAGGCGTGAGCCAGGGCACCCAGCCTGTTAATTTTCTTAGGTGTGAAAATGGAATTCTTAAGAAACAAATGCTGAAGTATTGAGGATAGTGTCATGACATCTATCACTTGCTTTGAAACCATTCAGCAGAAAAGATAAACAATGCACTTATGGCAGCACTTGCTGAATCTAGGTTATGGTTATATGGGTGTTCAATAATTAATACATTTTTAAAGAACAAATCAATAGCCTAGAGGGAGGAACGGTTCACTAGTAATGCCAATGTAACTATTCCAGTCTGTGTAAGTTCTAAATTTCACTGTAATTTAATACATTGGCATTCTGGCTTTGTACATAATTTTAAAAAATATTCCCTTTATTCGTTTCAAGCCTATATCTAAGTGACCCATAAATAAGGAACTTCATAAACTTAAAATTCTGATTTTTTGGTAATGCATACTGCCTTTATTTCTTCATTTAGTTTTCCCTAAACTCAAGTGTAAAAGTCTTATCATAAAATGGTGATGGGGCAGGATGGGAGGAAGGCTGGCATAAAAAAAGTACACATTAGGTACAATGTACACAATTCGGGTGACGGTGCACTAAAGTCTCAGAATTCACCACTATATAATTCGTCCATGTAATGAAAAGCCATTTGCAGTCCAAAAGCTACTGAAATAAAAATTTTAGAAGAATAAAATAAATGGTGATGGTTTCAGTTTGAGGCAGAACTGGTACAATTTTTTGCTAGTGAACAGTTAAAAGTCAACTGGTCTACAATGGGCCGGTGTTTCTCAGAAACCAGGGCCTGTCCGCATCACCTGGGGATGCTTTTCAAAACACAGATGTTTCCTCTTCCCTATCCTGTTCAGAACTACTGGGTTAGGCCAAAAAAAAAAAAAAAAAAAAAAAAAGAAAAAAGAAAAAAAGATGAACTAAGAGTAAGAAAACACTATAACTGGGGTCAAGGGTAGTTTGAGCTAGGATGCCTGAGACTGCCCCTAACCTTTCAAGGCTGATGAAAAATAGGAAGCCACGTTCTCTGATGAAAATCTTTGATGCCTCTGTGACGTAAACACTAGGCTGAATAGGCCGGGAGACTAACTCAAAATAGAAACAAACGCTTACATTATCATGATAATCCTGGTGCATCTGCTGCACTCACTCCCACAACTACACTCTCCGAGACATCCACAATATTCTACAAGTCAATTATCTTAATGTCAATTACTTATAACACATAACTTTATAGTATGATATCCATTTTTAATTCGATTACTCAGACTTTATCTGAGTTTTGACAAGTGCATACACCTTTGTAACCAAAACTCCTATCGACAAAACATCACCATGATCCCAGAAATTTCCCTCTTGCCATTTCCATGTCGATCTCCATCCCCAAGAGGCAACTATTGTTCTGATCTTTTCCCATCACAGTCTGTCCTAAGACTTCATATAAACGGAATCAAACAGTATCTACTCTTTGTTGTAAGGCATCTCAGCATGTTTCGAGATTAATTCACGTTGTACGGATCATTACTTTGTTCCTTTTTATTTCTAAGAAGTGTCCTCCAAGTATATGAATATATCGCAGTTTTTAAATCTAGTTTTCTGTTAATGAACACCTAGGCTGTTCCCTTTTTTTTTTTTTTTTTTTGGCCCTTACGAATAGCTGCTGTGAACATTCTTGTACCAAAAAAAAAAAAAAAAAAAAAAAGACAATTATTACTGCTCCAAAGGACAGCTGTATTCCCTGCATTATTTTGCATTCCACTGGAAGTACTGATAAAATATTTGCAAGGAAACTTCCTGGAACATGATTTAAATATGTGGTTTAGGAGATATGAGGGGTGTGTGGGTGGGCATTCTTGTCCAATAAAAAATTAAATCACTTGCATGCATTTGAAATCATGTGGACTGAAGAGACGAAAATAACTTCTATTATTTGTTCACTCACTGCTTTTCTCATATAGCTGATATTCACAAGCTCATACTGTTACCTGTTCTTTCCTGGGAGACTGGATCAAAGTTGCATAGACTCTAGCGGACTAAATATTTGTGAAATTAATTTTGCCAATTCTCACGACCCTAAGAACTCTTTTACACCTTCCAAAGAAGTTTCATAAAGTCCTTGTTTCTGCCTGCAAACTGTTTCAGTTGCCCCATTCTAGCCTGAGCAGTGCAGCCTTAATCCGAGAGGACCAGCACTACCTTACTGGGCCTTCATGCTGCCCTCCCTAGGCTCTGGTTTTGCTCTTCCATAGGAAGCACAAAGTGTACTCTCCATAATGAGGCTGAGCTGTTTACGTGCTAGAACTCCCACTCAGACCACTGGAAAAAGCCAACATATACCTTTGGCCAACTATTTAACCATATTTCTTTAGCTATTAAGTTGAAATAATAACTATATGTTTTTAAAAAGCTTTTAAACCCAGAGCTAAAGACTCAGTATTAAAAACTGGACTTATGGCCGGGCGCAGTGGCTCACACCTGTAATCCCAGCACTTTGGGGAGGCTGAGGAGGGCAGATCACTTGAGGTCAAGGGTTCAAGACCAGCCTGGCCAACATGGTGAAACCCCGTCTCTACTAAAAATACAAAAAAACTAGCCGGGCCTGGTGGCAAGAGCCTGTAATCCCAGCTATTTGGGTGACTGAGGCAGGAGAATCACTTGAACCCGGGAAGCAGAGGTTGCAGTGAGCTGAGATCGTGCCACTGCACTCCAGCTTAGGCATGCAGCCTAGGCAACAGGGTGAGACTCTCTCAAAAAATAAATAAATAAATAAATAAAATTGAACTTATTCTCCTGTTAATCCCAGGTTTGTCTTCTTCCAGAACTCTAGTGATGGGGTCACCACCCATCCACAACCTCCAGTCACCTCCAAGACACCTTTGACGCCTCCACTTTCCTTCACTTTCACAGTCAACCCAACACCAAGCCTCATCGACTTCATTTCCTAAACCCTGCGCGAATCCATCCAGTTTTCTCCGTATTCACTGTCACCACCGTCAGTTTAAAACATCGACCACCTAGTTTGGATTCCTGCCAGTCTCCCAACTCGACTTGAGCCCTGGCAACCAGTTCCCACTGCACTGCGGTCACTACACCCGTCAGGACCCTCCTCATCTTAAATAAAACTGCCCCGAGATTAAGGATCTACACCTTCACCAGGCCAAAAGGCCCTTCCCACCTGTCCAGTTTCTCCTTCATGCCTAGGCCACACTGGCCATTCGGCTTTTGAAATACAGTACTCTTGTCCTTGGTTTAGGAAAAGCCAGATCAATGCCTAGCGCATTCTTCTGATTACCTCCCAAACTAAGCCAGGTCTCCCAACCCTCCCGCAATTTACTGAGCCTAACACTGAATGCTTCTACAGTCCAGTTTATCTTTCTTTTAAAACATTCATTACAATTACAGTTTCGTGATGATCTCCATCACTAGACCGTAAACTCTACGAAGCAAGGAACAAAATCGACTTATTCATTACTGTGTTGTGCCTGGCACAATAAATAGTCGATTTTCCAGATTTTTCTCTCCTCCCTCTACTTTTCTTAGACTTAGGCCTTTCACAACACGTACTTGAAACTGAGACTTCTCAGTAAGAGAACTTGGTTTACTTCGTTCAAGTCTTAAGCCACGGAGCCTACTAAATGATAAATGAGAAAATAAATCCCAGTCACTTAGCGACCTTCCCCCATAAGGTCTCCTCCCGCAGCAGCAGGCAGCAAGAATAATGCATTTCTTCAGGCTCCCCTGCGCAGGCGCCCTTCGCCTGGCTTGTTCTGCCCCAGAGGTACCAGACAGTAAGGGGCACGAGCACTTCCGGGAGCCCCTGATCTGGTCGTGGGTAACACGGCGGCCACGCCCACCTGGAGAAGGCCACCGGCGGCGCGTCCGGGTTAGAGACGGGACGTAAGGACGTACTGCGTGCGTGCGCGCGCATGGCGGGGCAGAACTAGGAAAGCTCAGTAGGGCCAGGGCCGGGGCCGGGGCCGGCGCCGACTCTAGGTCTAGCATCCTTGGAAAGTTCGTGCAGCGGCCTCCCTGAAAATGGCATTACAGCCCGGCAGAAAACCCCCCGACTCTGCGGCAGGACCTGCGGGGCCTCTCCGCCCTCGGTACCGGCAGGACGGGGTGACCGTGACCTTCCAGGTGCCTCCTCTACAGGGGCGCCCCCTAAGATCACGTCCTCCCGGTGCTGGTCCGCACACCGCTCCGCACGCCTCATATTTAGCATTACCTGTGCCGTGGCAAGCGACTGTTACACTCTGGCGGGCGCACGTACAGCGGCTCCGCGGGGAGTCCCCTTCGCTCTCCGTAGTGGGCGGGGCTTCATCCCGCGTCCTTTAAAGGAGAGGTGGTGGGTGGAGCCACGGTTTTCTACAGTTGGGATGCAGTTCCGCCGACAGAAAATGCGGAGGGCGCGGAGGAAGTGCTTAAGGGGAAATTGCTGCTCACCTGGCTCCCGCCGCTCCGCAGGTGCGGTGAATCTAATGTCAAATTTCTGCAGCAATCGGAGCAGCCCTTCCTCCAGTTATATTACATTCACACCAATCTCGGTCTCCCACTAGGGCTTTATAAATAGCTTTTATAAACGTCTTTTTAATGTAACACTGAATAAAGTGTTTTATAAGCTTCTTTTATAAGGATTGTGAGTGAAAGGGCGCTATCTCCGATTTGCAGGTGAGCAGACAGCTTCGGAGTGCGAATGGCTCCCCTTGGATCCCCGGTGGAGCGCGGCTCCCGGAGGCAAAACGAAGCCAGCTGGGGCCGGGGCGTCAGAGCCTCCGCGTTGTAGTTGGGAGAGGTTCGAACGGGGCCTCAGCTGGCGAAGGGGAAAACGGACCCGGACCCGGACCCGTGGAGCCCGCTCGAAAGCCGGGTGCTGGGGGTGTGGGCCGCCCTTCCCGCCTCCTTCTTCAATAAGAAATTCCTCAAGGGCAGACTGCGAATCCACAGTCGTGAAGCCGCCTAATCTGGCGTCATACCTGGAATGTTTGGATTCCTGCTATGAAGAGAAATTAACATTTATTGGCTACTTGTCCACTGGAAGGCGTTGTCTTATTTCTCATTAACTCCTTGAATCAGCATTACCTCTTTTATTACAGATGACAAAACTACTTCAGCTTTAAATAGTTCTTTGAGAGCAAAGACGAAATCTCCATTTCCTTCTTAGCTGCTGGTAGCTCAACGCTCACTGTTAAAATAGGGAGGTGATGAAACAACTCTTGTGTGAGATCTTGGCTGTTTCCAAGTTAATCAAGAAGAATTAAGGATTCATTTCATTCTATCAAAATTATTTCTCAATGCCAAGATATTTTGTGTGATGTAGATTCGGGGATAGAGTGAGTAGCACAATACCTGGGGAGAGTTAGGTGCTCAGCAATTATAATTGTCCACACTTATGATTGCTTTTACCTATGTGCCAGACACTGTTCTACGCACTGAACATATTTCAAGTTATTTAATCTTAAGGACAGCCTTATGAGCCAATTACTATTATTACCCATTTTACAGATGAGGGAACTGAGACAAATTTGCCCAAGGTCACACAACTAGTAGCAGAATCAAGGAAAAAAAAAAAAAAAAAGCGAAAAAACCCAAAGCCCAGGCAAACATTTTAAATGTTCCTTGCATCGCTAGACTGAAGTAGTGAAACAGTAAAGTTACGGGTCCATGAAAACATGAAAGGATGTGAAGTATGTACAAGTAACTGAAACATTTAATGCCCAAACTAAAGACTTAAAAATTGCTAAGGTAATAGTACAGATAGATTGACACCATGTAATCGCTGGTAACTGAAGCTACTGCCCAGCATCCATTCGCAGTCCCTCTTTGAAGGCAGCTGTGTCCAGAGCAGGTGGTTTAGGAAGCTTTGTAGATTTACATTGTCAGATGTCTCCACACCTAGAAGATGTGCTTTAGTTCCTGGGAGGAGACATGCAGAAATGCGATGACCATTACAGACATGCTCACAGAGGGAGAGAAGCCTTTTTTTTCGTCTTTTCCCGTGAACTCTCCTTTGACCTCCAGCCGAAATGGAGCCTGGCAGCTTTTTTTTTTTAGACGGAGTCTCGCTCTGTCACCCAGGCTGGAGTGCAGTGGCGCGATCTCGGCTCACTGCAACCTCCGCCTCCCGGGTTCACGCCATTCTCCTGCCTCAGCCTCCCGAGTAGCTGGGACTACAGGCGCCCGCCACCTCGCCCGGCTAGTTTTTTTGTATTTTTTTAGTAGAGACGGGGTTTCACCATGTTGGCCAGGCCGATCTCGAACTCCTGACCTGAGGTGATCCACCCCACTGGGCCTTCCAAAGTGATAGGATTACGGGTGTGAGCCACCACGCCAGGCCACTTGGCAGCTTTTAAGGAGTCATTGAGAGCCTTGAACTCTACTTGGTGGGGGCAGACTTTGAAGATCCTTGAATAAAGATGACTTTGGTTTGGGGAAGTGATATTAATATGCCACAGATCTTTTGTAAACTACTCCATTATGTACATAGAAGAGGACTCTGAGAAATGTGTAGCGCTTTCCCAATTATGTTATCGTTTCTACACATAATTTAACCCCCTCAAAAATGAAACTCAGTAAGACTCAAATCACAGTGACTCTAAAAATGCCTATGTTTTCTACCACATGGTAATTTCTACGTTAATTTCCATAGCATGCCCATGAACTTTCTCTGGCAATGAATATATTGGTGATTTGCTCTGATGAAGGAATAATGGAAATATCCTGTCCCTGTCTTTGCCTGTTAGCTTTCCAAGTCCTCCCACTTTTCCCCAACGCTGAGGGGACCTTCCAAAATAGGATTGTATGTGAGATTTACTTGCTTAGCCCAAGGTCATTGAGGTACAACATATCTGATCCACAAAATAATCAGTATGTGGGTGATTTCTTCAAAAAGTTTTGAACACTGGGCTGCATCTTTATAGTGCCACAATGACTGTAACAATTCATTTAAAAATCTAATACTAATAAAAATCCCGTTTGTTTTTTTTTTGAGATGAGGTCTCACTCTGCTGCCGAGGCTGGAGTGCAGTGGCACCGTGTTGGCTCACTGCAACCTCCATCTCCTGGGTTCAAGCAATTCTCCTGCCTCAGCCTCCCAGGTAGCTGGGATTACAGGCACCCACCACCACGCCTGGCTAGTTTTTATATTTTTAGTAGAGATGGGGTTTCACCATATTGGCCAGGCTGGTCTGAAACTCCTGACCTCAGGTGATCCACCCACCTTGGCCCCCCAAAGTGCTGGGATTACAGGTGTGAGCTACCCTGCCCAGCCAAAATTCTGGGTTTATTTTGAAGATACAAAGCATCTTCAAACTTTAACACCCATGTGGGTTCAGATATTCAGCATATTCTTCAACAAATAATTGTTCATAGATTATATACTCCTCCCTCCCCAGATTATAAACTCTCACCTGGGCAGTTTTGCTAAAACTGGGGGAATTTAAGTCTATTATGTGTGAGATCCTATGTAGTGCCAACTAAATGTAGCTGAGAGCAGTTATCTTAAACGGCAGCAACTCTGCCATTACAAGGCCAGTTTAATAGCCAAGAGGGCCCATGCTCTCCTCAGCTGATGTTTACAGACTTGTCAAAAGATAGAAACAAGGCAGGCAAGAGGCTTTGGCTGAGTATTAGATAACTCGTTGAAAACTTCCTGAAGATACTCTCAGCCCAATATTGTGTGTCTATTATTGTCTGTTAGAAACCATTAAAGCCGAAAGCCTTCTTACAGAATCTCTACCATTTTCCTCAGGCAGGACTATAATTAATCCATTCCAAACATGTAAACATCTCTATATTTAAAACAAGACAAAACAAAACAAAATGAAAAAACTCGAGGCAAGGAGATTTAGCTTCTCATTTCAATGTTTTATAAGACGGGAGTCTTTTCCTTTACATAACCTAAATCCATCGTGTTGCTACTTAGTCTGGTTCTGCAGTAGAGCTGGAGAACATCTGGTGACCACATCTGTGTTATAACCCTTTGTGTGCTCTCAGACTTCTAGATTCAAAATAAATTTCCTTACTGTGAGATTTCCCGTAACATTAGACTCCGGATTAATCATTTCTCTTGTCCGAATATGATGGCCTCAGTTATTAAAAGGTGGTGGTTGTGAATCAGCAAAATAAATTTGTCTAAAATGAATGACATTGTAATACATTTTTTAAAAGCTTTCATATTTGCCAAATAAAAATATTTGTATATGGAAGATCCACTTATCTTCTGTGAAAAGTCTCTTGTGCAACCGCAGAAGCAGAAAATAGGTTCAAAAGTTTCATTTGGAACACAACAGGGACATGTCTTTCCATGTCAGAGGTATTGAGTTTTGGGGTGATTCAGTTAACTTTGATCGTTTTGAAACAATGAAAATCATTTCTGTTACCATCATAGGACATCATGCAGAACAACAGATAGCTAGTGCGAAATGTGCCAGGCTGACTACTGTGTAGAGAAAGCAAAACACGACGAAATGACTAGTTAGCATTTTACATTTAGAATGCAACCCAGCCGGGCACAGTGTCTCATGCTTGTAATCCCAGCATTTTGGGAGGCTGAGGCGAGCAGATCATGAGGTCAGGAGTTCGAGACCAGTGTGGCCAACATGACGAAACCCCATCTCTACTAAAAGTACAAAAAAGAAATTTAGCTGGGCATGGTGGTGCGCACCTGTAGTCCCAGCTACTCAGGAGGCAGAGGCAGGAGAATCCCTTGAACCAGGGAGGTGGAGGTTACAGTGAGCCAAAATCGCACCATTGCACTCCAGCCTGGATGATAGAGG